GGATGAATGAGAAAAGGAACATGAGCAATTGTCAGGATGAATGAGAATTGGAATTTCTATCAAAGTACCCACAGCCTTATGCCAAGAAAAACAAAGCAACAAAGACAAATGGATGTAATACAACGGTGAGCAAGTCTGAGCAAAAAAGTAACTTGTCCCAGTAACGATAGTGCAAGAGAAGTAGGAAGGTAACTGATCATATGTCATCCTTTGGTATCCCATGTGCCACTCCACATCGTTTAAATTTATATTTTAAATGGACGCCCAACAATTATCCACCCCAAACATATTTCTAATACTTTGTTTCAGGGAATAGTTGAGGCAATGTCTTTTGCATCTTTTAAGGGTGTCACAAAGTGTGCGTTATTACCACCATTGCCAGGTTTTATGCTGATGTCTATATTTCTTTGTCAGTTGTAAAATACCTGCATTCATTACTCAATGGATGTACACATATCCCTTCATCAGCATCAATAGCCAACTCTGCTCCCAAATCCACATTCAATTTGACACTGCTTCCTGTTATTCAGTGTAATGTTCCAGATATACAAACATTGCTGATAAATGTTAACTGGACACTCATCTTGGTAATAGGGAGGGACACATCTTCTGGCAGTAGCTGGTTCTGACGTTCTGGCCATACATACCAGAGCTAGAACAAATATCCTCAATGACCACCAGCAACTGCTGGTGAGTCCATTCCCAGAGGCATCCACTGCTGCTCTAGGGATGCAGGTGACACCAACTCAGCCACAAAGTATTTAGCTCCCATTTAGCAACAATCCATTTTGGGGACATGACATCAACGGAGGACGTGACCCTGCTTTCAAGATTAGGGAATTGCAGCTGAATTCCACTTTTATGATGGCAGCTGCTTTTCTCACTTTTTTATAAACAGAACTCTTACCCTAGCGCTATGGAACCAACATGGGTCGTGCCGCAGGGTTCAAAGTTTGTCCTATGTGTGACTCTGTAGCATCTCTCCCAAAACAGCAGGAACTCACTTTTAAATCAGTTGGTACCTGGACACCTGGACACCAGGACATGATTAAATTTCAGAAGTGATACAGGACTTGTCACTTTGTCCTGGGAGACACAGTATTAGCACAATGCCTATCCACAAAGAGGTTGAGTCACAGCCCTGTACCCCTCTTTGGAGATGACATAGTGGACAGTATTTAAACTTCCAAATGCCAGAAGGTTCAGAGGTTGAGACCTAAAAGGTGGGCAGAGGTAAAGAACCAGATTTGATTGAGAGTTCACTGAGTGATATATGGAGGTGCAAGGTGTATTGGGTTTAGGAATGTCACACACAGAATGTGGGAAAGTTAGCCTGTGAAGATTTGCACCTGAATTATCTGTTTCAATCAGACTGCCTGCATCATGAGAACCTTGAACTTCATGATATCCTATTTCCAGGTCTGAATGACCACAATCCTGGTGCTCATTTCCTCAAACTATTCCATCCATATCTTGTTTTCCTCTCATCCATGAAAGCTAAGACCTCATTCAATACCTTGCATCCTAGAGCTGGAGATTGAGCACCTTTCCGGATCTCCAACCCATTCCTCTGATTGTGCTATTATTTTAGTCACAGTCAACTCTGCCAGCATCAAATGAAGTCAAGATGTTGCAAATGTTAGCAACGACCTGCAATGAAAGCCTGTGCTTTATGAGAAATCATTTCTTTTATCAAATTCAGTGCATCATCCCAACCATCCTCTGTTAAAATGTCAGCAGCCTAAGCAGCAATGCTAATGACTGAGCTGAGAAGTGCAATAAAAATCTGCCCTTGAATCAAATGGTTTCCTGACCCGCAACTAAGGTTTCACTGAGAGTCCTAGGAGTCTGGGTGCATAGTTCCTTGAAAGTGGCATTACAGGTAGACAGGGTGGTGAAGAATGCATTTGGCACACTTGCCTTCATCACTCAGAACACTGAGTATAAGAGTTGAAATACCATGTTATAGTTGTACAGGACATTGGTAAGGCCACATTTGGAGTACTGCATACAATGTTAGCCTCCTTGCTATAGGAAGGATGTTAATAAAGTGGAAAAGGTGCTAAAACAATTTACAAGGATGTTACCAAGACCGTAAGGTTTGAGTTATAAAGGAGAGGGTGGATAGGCTGGAATTTTTGCTTTGAAGCATACGAGACTGAGGGAGTGACCTTAGATGGGTTTATAAAATCATGAGGGGCATAGATAAGACCAAGGCCTTGGTGAGTCCAAAACTAGAGGGCATAGGTTTAGGGTGAGAGGAGAAAGATATAAAAGAGACCTGAGGGGCAAGACAGAGGATGATGCATGTTAGGGTTGATCTGCCAGACGAAGGAGTAGAGATGGGTACAGTTGCAACATTTAAAATACATTTTGACAAGTACATTGATAGGAAGAGTTGAGGGGGATATGGGCTAAACACAGGCAAATGGGAAAGAAAACTGAAATTGCTTGAAAAGCTCAGCAGGCCTGGCAGTATCTGTGGAAAGAAACATTTCAGGTCTAGTGACCCTTCCTCAGAACTTTCCTCAGGCAAATGGGACTGGTTCTATTTAGGAAACCTAGTTGGCGTGGGTGAGTTGGACCAAAAGGGCTGTTTCTGTGCTGTATACTTCTGATTCTATAAATATCCATTCCATTTTAGTGATGTACATTTGTCCTTTCCCTTAACAACATCTCTTCTTTTTGTCTCATCTGCTTTGAGTTTCACATTCACATTGTAACTACTCCCTGGGTAATGAAATATCTCCTAAATTCCTTATTGTATTTATTAATAACTACCTTGTGTATATGAACCCTAATTCTGAACTCACGTATAATGGGACAATCTCTCTACTTACTTATAGAATGTCTTCATGATTTTAAAGATCGTTATCAGCTTACTCCCTGACCTAACCTTTCCAAGGAAAAAGGGACATTATGCTTATACATTGCATACTGTACATTTTTCAGAAGCATGTTTTTCCTTCAATAGGTCAAGTGTTGAAAGCGTGGGATATCGGAGTGGCTTCGATGAAGAAGGGGGAGATCTGTCAGTTAATCTGTAAACCAAACTATGCCTATGGGGCTGCTGGCAGTCCCCCTAAAGTCCCTGCAAATGCCACATTACTGTTTGAGGTGGGTGTGCCTTTGTTTTTGTTGCTGATTCCATTTCTGCCTTGATATTGCACCATGACACTACTGTAGAGTTAGAAAACCTAACGCTGTCTTCTCAAGGTTACTAAAGTTGGATAATAAACACAGCCTTTCCAGAGTCACCTACAGGAATGCAGGAACATAGGAGCAAGAGTCAGCCATTCAGACCATCAACCCTGCTCCACCATTCCCAATTGTGGCTGATCATCTATATCAGTGTTACTTTCCCACATTATTCCTATTTCCCTTGATGTCATTAGTATCTATAAATCTATGACATTTGTCTTGAATATGACCAATGGCAGAGCTTTCATATCCACCTGAGGTGGAGAATTCCAACAACTCACCACCCTCTGAGTAAAGAAATATCTTCTCATCTTAGTCCTAAAAGTTTTGCCCCTTATTCTGAGTCTGTGTCCCATGCTTCTAAAGTCTTCAGCTAGGGGAAACATTTTTTCTGCATTCTGTACTAAGGATTTTCAAATTTTAATCACATCAACTAAGCTTTAAACCTTGGAAGAATTCTCTGAGCTACTTTCTCATTTCCCCTTTCCTGAAGTATTTACTAATTAAAACAAAAAAAAGTCTCCAGGCAAGGTTCACCTTCCCCTGATATTAACCCTACCCCCATGACTCTTAATAGATTAGACTATGACTTGGATGGCAGAAGGGAATGTACTGCCACCAAGTTTGCAGATGACACAAAAACAAATGGGAAGGCAAGGGGTAAGGATGATACCAAGAAGGATACAGACAGGTTAAGTGAGTCGGCAAAGACTTAGCAGGTGGCATATAATGTTGGAAAATGTGAGGTTGTGCACTTTAACTGGAAGAATAGAGGAGATGAATATTATTTAAATGGAGACAGACTGCAGAGAGTTGCAGCAACGAAGGATTTGGGGGTTTTCACGCATGAATCACAATAAACTCGCATCCAATTCAGCAAATAATGGGCAAAGTAAATAGAATGTTGGCCTTTATTTCATAAGGAATGGAGTATAAAAATTGGACGTCTTCCTAAAACTATCCGAGGCATGAGACACTGAAATTCTACAAACACTTTTTGTTACCTTATCCAAGGAAAGATATATTGGCATTGGAGGCAGTCCAGAGGGTATGATGAGATTTTCTTATGAAAATTGTGTAGGTTATGCTTGTATTCATTGGAGTTTAAGAATAAGAGGAAATGTTAGGAAAATAAATAATATTCTTAGGGGATTTGACAGAGTAGATGTGGAGAGATCATTCTTCCCTTGTGGGAGAGTCTGGGGCCAAAGGCAATCATCTCCGAATTAGGGGTTGCCCAGTTTAGACAGAGATGAGGAGGAATTTCTTCTCTCAGATGGAATTTGTTATCATAAAGCACTGTTGATATTCAAGGCTGAGATAGACATATTTTTAATCAGTAAGAGAATCAAGGGTTCTTGGGATAAAGCAGAAGAGTGAAGTTGAGCATTACAAGATCGGCCATGGTCTCAGTGAATGGAGGAATATACTCAATGGGCTGAATGGTCTAATTCTGCTCCAATATCTTAATGATCTTTATGGTCTTATAGCACTCAAAGTCATGAGTGAGCCATTCAATATACTTAGTGCTCACAGGAAGATTTGGCAATCATGTTATTGAGGAAATCCAGGGTCTACTTTAAGGCAAAGTGTTCCAGAACAGAGGTAAAACTTTGAAAGTTCTTGCTAGTTTTGAGTGAGTGCAAGCTTTTAAACTATCATTCATTCCTTAAAATGTAGATCTGTCTTTATTTATTCCCTCCTCCTCCAGATTTCCTGAAGATGTTATTGCAAATTGGATCCACTGGCATTGATTGTGGTCCATTGTTCAAACCCATTCAATGCCCAGTGAAAATAGCAGAAAAATAGAGTGCAAAAGAAAATGCTCCATTAATAGAGCACCCATCACAACCCAAAAATGGCCAAAGAACTTTAAAGCCAATGAAGTACCTTTTGAAGAGTTTTCACTGTTGTAATGTAGGAAATGCTGCAGCAAATGTGAATAGCATATGGTTACAAACAGCAATGTAATAATGATTACTTGTTTTAGATGCTGGTTAAGGGATAAATTAGTCTTGACCATGTGGAGAAGTTTGCACTAATTTGAAGAGTATAATGAGATCTTTAGCATCCACCCAAGAGTGTTGTTGGGTTTTTGGTTTGAGTCTCACCCAAAGACAATACCTCCATCAGAGAAGCACCCACTCTATACTACCCTGAGAATGCCAGCAGGGACTTTTGCTCAAGTGTAGGACTTGAACCCACAATCTTATGATTCAGAGATGCAGATGGCTAACCCAAGCTGGCATCATTCTGCATGGAGATCAAACCCTAAGACATGGAGAGTCCCAGGTTTCACCCCAGTTTGTCCTTCCTTTGAATGTATTGTAGAGCACCCAAGGTACACCACACATGGTAGCATAGAGGTTTACTCATCATTGGGTGTGTTGGAGTTGGAGCTGGAACTGGAGCTTTCTATATTACATTCAGATGAGGGACCAACTAAGAAATCATGGGAGTCTCAGCTAGGATTGGGAGTCTGGGTGTTTCAGCTCTCTGAAACAACTGAAGCTTCATGTAAGTGCAAACCCTACATCAGTTGTTTTTTTTTATTGGAGGTGCCTGTGATCCACATTACTGTGTGGTTTAGATGGCGGTGTTTCCTGTTTGCCCACAATCATTTGTACCCCGTGTCATTCCTGCAAGTTCAGAATAAGTCGGAGTACACAAGATTCCATTTAATATGCACTTTCAGAGTTATCGATCAGATGGCTAGAAATAATATCAAAGAACAACAGAAAGGTTCAGTCAACAGGAAGCTTGTGGCACAATAAATTATTAAACAGAGAGTGTATCAATGTGTCATGCTGCTCTGCTTATTATATCCAAATGGTTCCTAAATGGCAGCATATCTGGTTGAAACTTCCCCACACAATAATGCCAATGCTGGCAGAATGCAGACCACTGAACTAGCTCTGCTCCTGCACTGGTTCATCCCTATTCATTCAGATGCATGGAGTTAACAATACCCAATGCACAATGTAATGACCGACGACTGTAAAATGCTTCATCTATGACTCAGACACAATAACTTAATGTGCAGCATGTTACGAGGAACATCTGGCACCTTGGTGTCCAGGTAAAAGAATGGATCACAAGGCTGCACTTATTGAAAGGGGCACAGGGTGGACAACTTTTTTTTTAATATTTACTCATGGGATGTGAGCATCACTGCCTGGCCAGCATTTATTGCCTGTCCATATTGCCCTTGAGAAGGTGGTGGTGAGCTGCCTTCTTGAACCACTGCAGTCCATGTGCTGTGGGTTGACCCACAATGCCATGAGAGAGGGAAATCCAGGACTTTGAGCCAGTGACAGTGAAGAAACGGTGATATATTTCCAAGTCAGGGTGGTGAGTGGCTTGAAGGGAATTTGCAGGTTGGTGGTGTTCCCATGTATCTGTTGCCCTTGTCGTTCAAGATGGAGATGGTCATGGGTTTGAAAGATGCTGTCTATGGATCTATGCTGAATTTCTACAGTACAACTTGTAAATTGAACAAACTGCTGCTACTGAGCATCAGTGGTGGAGGGAGTGGATGCTTGTGGATGTAGTGCCAATCAAGCGAGCTGCTTTGTCCTGGATGGTGTCAAGCTTCTTGAACATTGTTGGAGCTGAACTCATCCAGGCAAGTGGGGAGTATTCCATTACACTCCTGAATTGTGCCTTGTAGATGGTGGACAGGCTTTGGGGAGTCAGGAGGTGATTGCACAGTCATCCTACACCAGCTATAGTGCAGGCATCTGAGGCCTCAGTAGTGCCACCAGCTGAACCACTCATTACTGAGGACTGCAGGACACCTCAGGTAAACACTGAATTAAAAGTCAATTTGCCAAGTATCTTGGGCCCAAGCTGTCTCTGGTGGTCTTTTGTGTTGTGGGTGCTGCTTTCTCTGTCTGTGGCCCTATCGTTAGCTTGACAGACGTTGTCCTTGCTTACACTGATGGCATCCTAACATAGCAGGGGACTATCCCACCATCAGAAAAACTGATCCCACTGAGCTCTCCATGATTTTATTGCAATCCCCTCTTCCCAGCCAGTCTGACCAATGTTTCACACTAAGATTCAATGTTTTCTGCATTGTATTCACTTCTAAACATTTAATGGGAAATCTCAGTGGACACTGAATTATCATGCTCCATCTCACCAATGCTTGAGATTGTCCCAATCACTTGTAGAGATTCCTTTGCTATGGGCACATCTATATGGCTCTATATTGGCTTGTGATCAAGGCCTCTGGCAGCAGGAGGTAGCCGAAACACTATTGCAACTTAACTTTACTAGATATAGGCTCCCTAGTACTTGTCCCATTCTTTCCTTCCAGAACTTCTTCCTGGCATTATGACTGCAGAATCACACAGCCAAATGCCAAGTCTGAGAACTAAGCTGATGCCAACTCTTAACTCCAGTGTTCAAAGCTGCACCAAGGCAGGTTGGTGCTCACTGTGAGTTCTGAGGAAGAGTCCCTGGAGCCGAAATGTTAACTCTGATTTCTCTTCACAGATGCTGCCAGACCTGCTGAGATTTTCCAGCAAGTTCTGTTTTGTTGTTGGTGCTAACTCTACTCATGGTCTTTAATCCTGTCATGAGTCCACATCCTATGAGGACATTCCACAGGGGAGGGGTCACTTGACATCCTGTCAGAGCAGAAATTAAAATCTTTCACAACTGGACTAAACATTGTCAAGCAGAGCAGGTCCGTAATTCTGGCCCAACTCAATTCAATCACAGTTCATCAGCACTAATCAAGAGCCCAAGCCCACATTGAGACCATTCAATGCTAACTGCTCTCTTGTCAATGTAGTTGGACAAGACATCACACCCTCTGGATACAGTCTGATGGACACCAAAGAGCAAAGCTCTGAGTCATCGAGAAGACATAGGATGAGGGATATTCAACAAAGAGGACAGTGATTCAT